TCACTCTCCAATTGTTAATGCTTAGGTTATTTTCGATTTAAGTATCCATGTATTAAACATCTTCATGTATATCTTCTCCTCTTTTGAACTCTATTCTTAGTTAGGAGGCAGTCAGTATAGTGCTAGGGGCACAGGTTTGGAGGCAGACGGCCTGAGTTTTGAATGCTGGCCTTCTTGCGTGCCAATTGCCTGACCCTGAGCAAAATATTTATCTTAGGCCTTAGTTTTCTCATTTGTAAAAGAGATAGTAATTTTACCTACATCACAGAATTGTCAAGAGGCTTAAGTGAGGTAAAATACATAGCGTTTAGAATAGTCCTTGGTCAATAGTGTGTACTTGCAATGGCAGCTATTTGTAGTAGTGGCAAAATCAATTTTCAGGGGTTCTCCTGTGAAGAATTGTCCCTCCTCTCCCTCATGTCTAAGAGACAGACTCCCACTGCAGCCTTTGCTTCACTGTCCCTTCAAAATGGCTTGAAACCCACCCTGCCACCCAGGTCCTCTCACGTGTGTTTCTTTCTCCTTTGGTTCTAGTTAGGCTGGACAAGACCGGCTAGGAAATGGACATGGAGGCTAAAAATGATTGTCTTGTTTCTGTGACCTTGGTTTCCTCATGAGAACGATGAGGGCCCTGTTGGTGAATCTGGGATTCCTTCCAAGTCTGACATTTTGTTCTTACTTATACCCTTTTGAGGGCTGTTACTGACCTACTGTGGGAAACGGTCCATTTTATTCCACGTCTACCTACTGGGGTAGTGATAGGTAACTGGTAGAATGAGGACTGAAAGCTGAAAAGTATTTTATTAAAATGGCCTAAATCTTTGGGTAATCTCTGGAGAAAGCGCCAAGTCTCCATGGCCTACCAGTCCTCCCCAGAGACCTTCGTACAAACTTTGTTCCCCTTTCCCTCTCTTCCTAATTAGCTACAGCTACGTGATGGTCGGTTCAACCAGAGAGGTACTGTGGAAAGAAAGTCATAACCACCATCACCACGTTAGCCAAAGAGCAATGAGAGAAAAGAGAGCAGAGGATAAAGCTGGAATAAATGGTCTCTAATTAAAGGGCTCAGATGAAGCCTTCACTTCTGAGGGCATGGGTCAACTGACCCAGATAACAGCTACATAAAGCCAAAGAAAACCCAGAATAGGAATAAAACTAAAAATAGCAAGGAAAACTGAGGAGGAGGAAGTGTTTGTACTTTTGCTGTTGGTCAAGCTGTACACGCAGCTGTTTCTGTAGCTGAGATGAAAGAGGGTGGAAAGGATTTAAAAGCTGGCTCTGAGGCAGCCATAACTGTTTTAAAAATTTGATGAGTAAATGAGGAAAGCCCCCAAAGAGAATATTCCAGCTGCTAAGTCTATTAAAGTTGGCTACATTTTAAAAAGAGCCAGGCAAAAGACTCATTTCTGGATACCAGTATCCCATGAGCAGCTACAAGGTATTTCTGTTGTGAGAGGCAGATTCTGACTTTGTGCTTAGGAAAGGAAGATCGTAGAATCACCATGTTGAAAGATATTCCCAGCTGCATTATAATGGAAAAACCAGAAGGCTGAGAAACATGGATTAAGTGTAGCTCGGCCACATTCTATCTGTGACAGAGCTCATTATTAAGTGTCTTTGAGCTTCAGTCTTTCCCTCTGTAAAAACAAAATTGACTTAGATGAGAAATGCAACCTTTGTAAAAACAAAATACAGAATCCTAGAGGCCTTAGTAGAGAAAAACAGTAAAAGGAGAATCTGAAGGGTGGGAGGACTGGCCAGCCTAGGGAGTCTTAACAGTCTTGAAGAGCAGGGGTCTTCGAGATACCACCACCTGCCCTGACACTGGGACCGAGACTGCAAAAGAAGATTCTGATGTAGGTGGTAAAGAGGAAGGTGTTGAAAGTTCGATTTACCGGCAAGAGAGAATTAACACAGATGTCATATTTTATCCCTATAAGCTACTGAATGTGGCTAATGCAAGTGGGAAAATTCTTTAGGGTGATGATTTATAACACTATCTTTGTGAATACTAAAGTAGCAAAAGTGAAATTTTAGGCATTTTTTTTTTTTAAAGAATCTGCCAAAAAAAAAAAAAAACCCACTTTTTTTTTTTTTTCCCAAATAAAGAATAAAGTAGGAAAAGTGGGTTCTTAGAAAGGCCAAACCAAAAACTTTGGAATGAATAATAGCCTAGGGCTAAAATGATGTCCTGGTATGTGGAAAAGAACAGACGCACTGGGAACAAAGTTCATGAGCTCAATCCTATCTGTAGTGTCAGGATTCTCCAGAGAAATAGAACAATAGACTATGGATAGACACACAGAAAGATTTATCACGGGAATTGGCTTACATAATTGGAGTCTGAGAAGTCCCATTATCTGCCTCATGCACGTTGAAGTCCAAGGGAAGCTAGAGGTCTATAGTTCCAGTCCAAGTCTGAAGGCCTGGGAACCAGGAGCTCCGATGTCTAAGGACGGATGTCCCAGCTCAAGCAAAGAGCAAACTTGCACTTCCTTCATCTCGTTCTATTCAGGCCTTCATTGGATTGCGTGATGCTGGCTCACATGCGTGAGGGCTATCTTCTTTACCCAGTTCATCTATTCAAATGCTAACCTCTTCCTGAAACACGCTTACAGGCACATCCAGAAAAAATGTTTACCAGCTACCTGGGCATCCCTTAGCATCCCCATCTGAGAACACCATTACTGTTTGAAGGTACACTCAGTCCAGCCTCGTAGCTGTCACCAGAAACTGACAGGCAGCCTCAAGCCCTCAGGCATGCGATTACGCAGGCTGGCGTTAAGATCCTTGCGAGAAGACAGCAATGTCGACGGGTTCACTCCACACGGCTCTATAGATTCTGACATTTGAAACAATAGTCCTCGATTTCAACACACTGACTCCTCCTCTCCTGACCTCTAGAACTCCATTTCTAGACAGATACTGAACTCAAGGTGTTGAAAAATAACTATTGTCCTCATTCTCCACCTGATTCTCTGTCTTGTTTAAGCCACAAACCTCAGGATCATCATGGAGTCCTCCCCTTTCTCATGCCCAAACAGATCATGTTGACGTCGTCACTGACATTTCTATCAATCATCTATCTTCCCTGCCATCACACCTCTCATAAGAGCCTCCCAGCCTCCCCAATGCATGCTATGCACAGACACCAGAATTATCTTCCTAAGCACAAATGTCATTTCCCTGCTCAAAAATTCTTCAACAGCTTCCCTTTTCCCACAGAATCAAGACCAAAGTCCTCAGTATAACATGCAAGACTCCACCCTGGCCCAACTTCTATCCTCTCCAAATGCCTTTCTTTTATTAAGTGTCTACCATGTGCCAGGCAGTTTTAAGGGTTGAGACAGAAAGTCCATGTTTTCATGGAGCCCATATCTCCCACATGTCTCCAAGCTCAAATCTACACCTTCCTCAACATTCTCTCGAGTCTCATACGTGAGAATTACCTTCTTTTATCCTAGAGTATTCAACATTCTGTCTTGTACAACATTTGCGTATAATTGTGTCTTCCAGCCTGGACTATCAACTTCTTGAGGGCCGAAACCAGGTGGTCACTTATCTTTGTATTGCGTGAGGGCTTGCACAGGGCCTCATACCTGGAAGACTGTTTCTTTTTTTTTTTGGAATACTGTTTCTTGAATTACAGCAAGTCTATCCAAATCTGCTTCCATTTATAGTTTTAAAAACACAAAAACACAAAAACTTGTAGAGCTTTGCCTATTTTAAAGAAACGTGAAGTTTTTTTTTGGATAGAGATATAGATTAAAAATTGTAGTGGAAAGACTTAAAGACATACCCACATTATTATAACCTGAAACTTAGGCTTGTAGTCCATTCGAATACCTTGTGTGAATGATCCTACACCACCCCTTAAAAAGATTGTGAACTAGAGACTATGAACTCTAGAGGGCAGACTTCAAACTCACTCAGTCACCAGATGGCTTCCCAACCCTTGAAAAGGTCTCATCGCTGTAAACATTAGAGAACTGCCATTAGTCAACTTCTTAAGGGACCATGGAGGCCAGCAATGAACAGCCAAGCCAACTGCCACTGCCAAAGGCAAAAGAGCACCTCTGGAAGAATCATCTGGAAGCAGCTTCTGCTGGCCTCATCCACTGATAGAGGCTTGATTTAGGAGAGAGAGCAACACTCTCGACCCTTTAAAAAGTCAGGATTGGAAATGAAAAATTTTAAATTTGACATGTGAAAATAAAAGTGACTCTTCGGACCGAAGAGATTTATGCAACTCATGATCTTGAAGAGGGCCCTGGTTTGGATGAATCGAATATAAAAAACAGTTTGGGAATAATCAGGCATTTTTAACATGGACTGGGTATTAGATGATATTAAGGCATTATCAATTCTTGTTGGTTGTAGTATGTAGAAAAAATGTTCTATTTTTTAGAGATGTAAACTAAAGTTTAGCACGAGTAGAATATTATGTCTATTATTTTCTTTAAAATAGTTCAGTATAAATGGAGTTATAAAACCGACCAACTACGAAAATATGCCACTTCAGAGAGTAACTACTTTCTAGCCTTCATGGTCACTTTATCAGCGGGCTGTCTTGTTTAGATGGGTCAGGTCACCTTCACCATGGAGACTGATGCTCACCACCAGCGGCAAATGCCTAGGGGAGCCCCACTCAGGGGAGCTGTGCATTAGACGATGCACAGATAGGGGTCTCTTCTGAAGGGCCTTCCTCCCCTTGTGATAGTCATTTACTCTGTTATTATCAAAGTGAGGAGAGAAAATGATCAACTTATCATTCACTACAACACA